CAGTCGATATCAAATCATACAAATATTAACTTGCTCCAAATCAAATTTACACTCTTGGCACTTATGGATGTTTCTTTTGTGTGTCTGTTAATCATAGAAATGATTTCACATCTATTTTTATGCGCTCACGTTATTGTGCATGCAATCGGGAGTTTGCTCGACTTGACTCGAATTCACTTCAAATTTCAGACATATTTTTTTATTTTCATTTTGTTTTGCTGTTGTTACTTTTGTGGCTCATTGAATAACATCCAGTGGTTGTTCTATCTGTGTATGGGTGAAGTGCGGAAAATCGCTTGATATTGTTGTGCATTGTGCAAATTGTTGCTGCTACACAGCTGGTCGCTGGCTCTAGTTCTAGTCTCTGGGCGCAGCCACAATCCTCGCCTAACTGAGTGCTGTTGGAAAAGTTTAATTGCTTGACTTGGTGGGTCTTTTGTGCTAATGCTGTCCAGCTTTTTGGCTTTGGCGGTAGCGATTTTGGCCCCACTCAGCAGAGCAGTCGGGACTGCAGTGGAGTCGGGCGCACTTTACACACACTTCAGTGAAGCGTTTTTCAAAACTTTTTGGCGAACATTTAAAGAAAACCAAATAGCGAAACAAAACACATAGAAAACGTGCCAAAGCAGGTCCGGCAAATGCCCAGCAACAGCAACAACAACAATTGAAAATCAAAATAAAATAAAGGCAATGTAGGCAGGGACCTTCGACAGAGGCAATACCAAACGGGCTAGAGGAAGAGAAGTTTAATATTAAAAACTAACAACTTGCAAATTTACATTTGGCAAAAAAACAGTGCGACGCGATGCGATGCGATGCGACGCGACGCGACGGCTGCATGTGAAAAATAGCAAAAGCTGCAATCGCAACAGCAACAAAAAAGAAAGCAAGCGAACGAGTCGCAAAATGGCAAACAACAGCAACAAAAACAGCAACAAAAACGAAAAGCACAAAAAGCAACAGCAATTATTCAACAATTTGTACGGCCGAAGTGCTTCAAACTTTTGCTTTAAATAATGTGTATGAAAATTGTTGAATATTGTTTTATTCTCTTTTTCTTCATCTTTTTTCTGTACTATTTGTTTTAGCTGCAAGCTCTGTTATTTACTTTTTTGCCTCGAAAAACTATTGAAAATCTTCTTTGCAGATCAGCTCGTAATTGTGCTCTGCTTGAATAACATACAAGAAAAACTATGTAAAGTCATTTTTTGTTTTCGTTTTCCTAACAAAGGAAAAATATACATATTTTTGAAAGGATTTGATAGGACTACAACTATCGATAGTCTTTACTTAAAGTTGTAGCAGCTAATATACCCTGCAACTGTTTCTATTTATACACATTCGTATACTGAAATATAGAAACAGATAAAGAATTAAAGATGAAAGATATAATATGATATAGGATAAATGGAAGATAGACAATAGGAGACGGAAGATGGTAGATGGTAGATGGTAGATGGAAAATCGAAGATGAAAATTGGAAGGTGGAAGATGGAAGATGGAACACAGAAGACAGAGGATGGAAGATGGAAGATGGAAGATGGAAAATAGAAGATAGAAGACGGAAGACAGAGGATGGAAGATGGAACACAGAAGACATAGGATGGAAGATGGAAGATGGAAGATGGAAAATAGAAGATAGAAGACGGAAGACAGAGGATGGAAGATGGAAGATGGAACACAGAAGACAGAGCATGGAAGATGGAAGATGGAACACAGAAGACAGAGGATGGAAGAAGGACAATAAAATATGGAAGCTGAACAATAGAAGATGCTCGTTTAGGTTTGCTAAGGCTTTCACTGAATTGATGGTTCTTGGTGTCAACTCATTTCTCACTTTGCCTACATCTTATATATGTATATTTATATTCCAAGTCTGTATTGGGCTGCAGCAAAAAGGCTCGAGGCGGCCGCTTCGAGGTCTCAGCTGTAGCTCATTTGTTGCTTTGTATTTCATGGCCCATTACATGCTGCGATCGTCCAGGTTCTAAGCTGTTAGGTTTGCTAAACCAACTCGTTTGTTTACCTGCTGCTCAGCAGTCCCTGTCCATGTTTCTGTCCACTTTCTCGTTTACAGATTTCGCCAGGGCTTTAGCACAAACTTTGTCCGGCACGGCACTGATTTTGTTTTTCTTCTAAAATATGAGCTCGGATTGTGCACACACACACACACACGCACACTCACACACAAAGCCAATCAGTTTGCCAAAAGCACACACACTGAGGGACCAGGAACTTTGGGGGCGGGGTGTGTATGCACACACACAAATTTGTGCAAAGTTTTATATTTTCTTGCTGGAAAATTTTGGACAGCGTAAGGAGCAAGAAAAAAAGCATGTAAATTGTAAAACCCACAAGCAGCATGCTGTGTGTGTGTATGTGTTGGGATAAAAGAGTGTGCCAAACACCCACACACACACATACGCTCACGTACACAGATACAATAGCATCACACATATGTCTCGGGACTTGCTCTTTCGGGCGTGACACTGAAGGTGTATTTGTCAAATGTGCACTCATTTTGTTGAAAAATTGAAGTATATGCATGACTGCTCCACTGCCCATGTCTATGTGTGAGTAAGTTCGTGTGAGTGTGTGTGTGTGGGCGTATGTGAAGGCGTTAGCCTAAGCAATGTAGAAGTGAGAATCCTTTTAGTGTCTGTGCAGATTTCAAAGATTTCCGGTCACTTCACTAATAAGTTTTACAATGTTTAGCATAGAAAAATGTGTTGACACAACGCCTGCAATCTGAGCATGTGTGTGTGCGTGTGTGTGTGTGTGTGTGTGTGTGTGTACAAGCATGCTTAATTTAATTTCCATTTTCATATGTACACAACAAATTGCCATAGAGCCGTGCTCATGTTTGTCTTTAGCTTTGTCCCAGTTCCAGTTTCAGTTCCAGTTCCCTTCATCATTCCGCCTATGCGTCCGTCGCTTTGTCCTAAAGTCATTATTCTCAACAGCATCAGGCCTCGGAGCTAACAAATTGTCATATATGCTTTTATGCTGTATGTCCACACTTCAGTTAAAGAGCCGCAATAGAAGCCTTTCAGCTTGCAATTAAGTAAAGAAAACTTTTAAATTATTAATACGCATTGCAATTCTCAACAAGTTTAAACACTCAACACAGACTTCAATATAAGTGAATGGCGCTATATATATAATACTATATATATCTTATTATACAAATACAAAAACCCATAGAAAAGCGTAAGCTTTGCCTTCAATTCTACTGAACTCAGATCCATTCATGTTTGGCCTTCGTTTCTCTTTGTCCTGCTCGGCCTAGGCGTGACAATTACTTCAAGTGAAGCCAAGCAGAAGTGCAGGACTTAGATAATTGACTAGCACCGGCCAGGAGTGTGGCAAAAAATGAGTACACGAGCCATGGAACTGTGGCAATGACAGCCTGAAAGTGGAAGACCCAAGGAGAAGGACAGCTTGGCAGTCATAGAATCATTAAAAGATATTGTAAGCTTTTCGAATAACATTTTTACATATTATTATATTTAATATGTAATATATTTAATATTATTATATATTATATATTATTATATTAATTATTATATTTAATATAATGCCAGAAAGTCTATCAAATTACTCTAGTTTCCTTGGAGCTTGTCAACAATTCATGAAACTCTTTTACTAAATGACTCTTAGCGAGGGTATTAAATAGTCGCTCAGCACTCATTGTTCTGCAATTGTTTTGCTTTTATGCCAGCAGACATTGTTAGCTTAGGTTTGGGGAGTGCATAAATTGCAGCATCCCAAACACTAAAAAAAGGGCGTTGCATAAATCTTTGTTGCAGCAGCCACATTTAATTACAAAAGTTTTTCAAAATTTCAGATGCTCCTCTGCTCTCTATATAGTTTGGCAACTGCCTTAAATCAGCGGTATTTTGTGCCCAAAAATTATGACACACACACACACACGAGCACGCACACCCTCACACCCGTAGGGCAACGCTTTGGGCGCATTCACATTTTACAGCGTCCAGGACTTTTATTGGCTGCCAAATGGGCGACACTTGGCTACTTGTCCACTTGGCCAGTTGCTCAAGCGCCCGTCTGTCCATGTGGCCAGTTAGCCAGTTTGGCCTGACAGTTCCTGGCGCAGCCATAAAGGGAACTTCCTCTTTCTTTTTTCTGTTGACCGCTCGGAGCGTTGCCCCAAAATCAGTTAACAGGCAATTTCAACTATTTTACAGGCTGTGTTCGGCATGCCAAATGACCGGAGTCAAATGTCAATACCATCAACATGCTGAACGGGCCGAGAGTCATGAAATAACCAACAGCAGTGTGCCATGCCATGGGAGGGTCAGCCATCGAACAGCAACGATAACAGCAAATCCTCTTTAAGTTGACTATTTTCTTCATTTTTTTCTTACCAATTTCAGTGTAGGTTGCCAAATGATGCAGTATTTCTTAAATACCAGCAAAACATATATAGAAGAAAACATAGTTGTCATAGAAAAATTTCTTTATAATCATATCTCTCTCTCTCTCTCTCTCTTCATTGCCTTTCTTCACGCATATTAAGTATACGCAGCATAAGCATTTGTGCATATGTAAAGTCTTATCATAGTTATTTAGATATCTGTATGTAGCTGTCAAGCATTAGCATTTTGGCAATATCATATATAAGCTGCATATTCAAAGTCAAACATAAATATTAGTGTCGAGTATGACGACTACTGAAACTACTTCAAAATGTTGTTTTCCATTTGATGCGTGACGCATTTTCTTAGAAAACAAAAAATAGTGATTACCCGGAACTCTAACGCAAATCAGTTTGAAGTATTGACTATTTGTCTTTTTGTTTTACATTGTTTTCAAATTTTGTGCAGCTTCTACAGATCGACAAACAAATGTAGTTAATTTACTAAGAGCGTACACAACTCCAACAAAATACCTTCTAGCTCAACATTCCACTGATAAGAATGCCGGCGCTCGGCTATAAAAAGAGCAGCGCCGATCGAGGTCTTCGCTCACTTCAAAACCAACACATTTCATCTAAATAATACAATGAGAGTTTGTGAGTTGACATTGGTGCCCGCTAAGCCGTTCATGCACTCCTTTAACTTGCCATCCTTGTCCTTTCAGATAACATGATACTATTCACAGTTTTGATTGCATTGTTTGCGCTGCTTAGTTCGAGTGAAGGACACATGCCACCGTGTGATGGGTGTGAGACAGCCAAGCCACCCTGTACAACAACAACACCACCTTGTACAACAACGTCACCCTGTACAACAACACCACCCTGTACAACAGCGCCACCCTGTACAACAACACCACCCTGTACAACAACGCCACCCTGTACAACAACGCCACCCTGTACAACAACGCCACCCTGTACCACGACTCCCTGTACCACAACGACACCCTGTACTACAACAACTCCACCCTGTACAACAACAACTCCACCCTGTACAACAACAGCGCCACCCTGTACAACAACACCACCCTGTACACCAACGCCACCCTGTACAACAACACCACCCTGTACACCAACGCCACCCTGTACAACAACGCCACCCTGTACAACGCCACCCTGTACAACAACACCTCCCTGTGCCACAACGACACCCTGTACTACGACAACTCCACCCTGTACAACAACAACGCCACCCTGTACAACAACGCCACCCTGTACAACAACGCCACCCTGTACAACAGCTCCCTGTACCACAACGCCACCCTGTACAACAACAACTCCACCCTGCACAACAACAACTCCACCCTGTACAACAACACCACCCTGTACAACAACGCCACCCTGTACAACAACAGCTCCCTGTACCACAACTAAGCCACCTTGTACCACCATTAAACCACCATGTACTGCAACCACACCACCATGCACCACAACCAAACCACCCTGCACCACAACACCGCCCTGTACAACAACGGAATGCACAGAAATACCAGTAAGCTTTGCTAAGTCCCAATGCATATGCCCCTCTGGCTTAGACGATTGCGACTGCGCCGAGTCAGAAGATGCTGAATCTTTGCTCTCAGCACGCGCCTGTCGTGGCATTAAGGATGGCACGATCCTAACGGATGCCAGGCACTGCCGCAGATATTATGTGTGTCGCAATAACCGGGCCAGACGACAAATCTGTGCAGCTGGCCAGTGGTTCGACCGCCGGGCCAAGATCTGCCGCAATCGCTCTCTGGTGACAAACTGCTTGGTGGGCCGTAACTGAGAGTTAGACACGCCCTGTGTTCTTAATGCTGCCAATCAGCCAGCATATATTTAAATCAATTTTTTTCTGCTCAAATAAAGTACATGAATGCAGCAACAAATGCTGTTTTTTAATACAAGTGGCGCTCTGTAGCTAGATGTTGATAAATAGTGCCTCGTTCAGGCGTCGTTTAATGTCGTTTTGTTAATAGAAATTCTGGTCTAAGCTGACGATTAAGCTGTCGCGACTGCCAGAAGCGTCTTCGCCATCCATAAGCTGTCCTAACTGACGGTTTTTCTCGCTTGGGCCAGAAGATGCCCTTCATGAGTTGCCATCAATTTCGGGCAAAGGCCAAGCGAAAAACGTTGAAGCTGCCAGGAACTTTCAATCAGGCAACAACAACAGCAACAACAACAAATTGCAAAGGCAAAGGCAAAACAAGGCAATAAATTTGTCAACACTTTAGGCCAATAACCGCGAGCGCAATGTGAATGTAACTATAACTTTGTCTGTCACCCCTGACCCTTGGGGTTAAAGGGGAGTGGGAATCGGAACTAAAATTGTAGCCGAAGTCGGAGTCGGAATCAGAATAAGAATCACAAGGGGCTCATGTTACATGCGCTGCAAACTTTTCACCAACTCTGTGGGATTTTATGTATATAGAAAAAGGCGTCAACTTTTGGGCGCCAGAGTGCGGCATTTGTGAGTTGTTGCATCTGGCGTTATAATGTTGTGTTTTCCTTTCCCATGCCCTGTTATCGTAGAAAAGGCACAGGGTATATGCCAAACATAAAACAATTGACTTTAAAAGTTTAATAATTCGAATCTGATGTTTAAGCCAACTCACTTAAAGCTTAAAGCTTTAGCCAGGGTTTTGAATTATTCCTTGACGAAATTGCATATCTTCAAGTTCTTATCTATATATTTAAGTGCCACTTCTAACAGAAGCTCATACAAAGAGCTGAGCTTTTCTCCAACTTTCACAGTTATCTAGCTTACTAACTACAGCTAAAAGTTCTCTGTCTCACTCTCTTTTGTTTTGATCAGTTTCAATTACAAACAAGTTTCAAGCCACATCATATCGGATTTTAAGCATTCTTACAGGGTATTACAGAGTCGAGCAATTGCCACACACTCACTCACACACTTATACACATAGTCGTGGGAATCACAGCTTTAGTGAGACATCTAGAGTGATTTGTGCATTTTGGTATCAATTTGGAAATTCGGTAAGTTCTCTGACTGTCTCCCTCGTTCTTTCTCCATTTCCTCTCTCTCTCTCTCTCGCACTCACATAGAGCAAAACGACTTCAAAATGCAGCAGGCATTATCGTATTTCCGCTTGTGCATTATTATTTTTGCGTCTGCCTGTCGATTTTTGCTTTTGTTACGCTTTCGCTTCGCTTGTTTGCGGCATTTTGCATTTTTGTGGGTCACAAACACAAATCAAAAGCACTGCACCACCCTGCACCACACTGCACCGCGAGTTGTATCATATTTCACAAGGGCATTCGACGCTGCTGTTAAGGCTGCTGCTGCTGCTGCTGCTGTTGCTACTGGCATTGCCCATGTTTCCTTCCAGTCCCGGCCATTGGCAGCGCAGTCTTTTTCCTGTCCTTTTCCATTACCAAAAAACAACCGCAACTTCAGCCAGAGACGCTGCAGCCCAGCCGCGCAGCTCTCAGTTCTCTCAGGCTCCACTTGATTCTGGTTGAGGACATTGCAAAAAAATTACTAAAAAATTCCGCGAAACCTAGCTTTAAATACAACAAGAACTGCAACAACGCTAACTGGCATGAAGCTTGTTTTCTACATAAAATATTCGATGTGCCACTTTCGAGGATAGCCGTATAAAAGCTTAAATAGACACAGACTGATTTTGTCAGCAAACAAGGCTAAGTCTTACTAAATGTTGTGTTTGCTAGAGCCTGCCAACTTTCATATATGTGTCTGAAACAAAACACTTATTATGAAATAGATATTTATCGATTTACTAATATTTATATATATCCATTTGTCTTCGTTTTAGAAGTCGACCAAACTCAGTTGATATCTGATAAGCCTTTTCTATCCATTGAATTAATTGATCATAATTTGCCCAAATCAGATTTGATGTCCCTTCAGTGTAATTATGCGTTTAAGGTTTCTTAAAGCCTTATTAAATTCGTTTTATTTACTAATATTTATTTCACATTAAATGTATTTATTTGCATTGTTATTAATGGTATTTTGCTGCATGCTGCGCGCATGATATTAATCTTGCTGATAATTACAAATGTTGTTTCTAATAAATTCGCTTTTGTGTTTATTGTTGCTTTACAACTTGTGTTCGATTTGTGACACGCCTACAAGCAAATCCCTGGGGCTGATACTAGTTTTTTTTACTAATACTCTGCTAACCATTAAGAGCTGTGGGCGGGTATACCTGGCTGTTGTTTTTAGCATATGTAGGCTATAGGATATTTGCCTAGCCTAACATAATTTTTATATTTTTTGTATCTGGTAATAAATGTGTATTCCGTTTGTGGTTAAGTTGAAAAAATCATTTGATTGTTTTCTTTTTTTTTTTTTTTTTTTTTTTTTATTTGTCTGTTGTGTAATGCAACGGCTCAATTGTGTTGGTAAGTGGCGAGCAGACAGAATGGCAGTGTTTGCGGCAGGCAACAAACGCAGTCGCCCGCAGCCACGGAATAACAATTAAATATAATTGGTACGTGAATTATGACACTTACCTTTAATCAGTGCACTTAACAAGTGACGTTAATCATGCGCCATGTTGCCCCGAAGGCTGTCGGCAGTGTTTGCCCCTTTTTTTTTTCTTTTTTGCGTTTTTTTATTAATAAATACGAATTTATATTATATTTTTATTTAATTTAATTTCCGCAGCTGTTTGTGATTACTTCAACTCGATTTCCATCAATGGTTGATCTCAATATAAAAATATACGTATATGTTTTTTTAATATGCCAACAACAATGACAACGTCAACAGAAGAAGAGAGTGCATCACATAGACTGTTAATTAACCACTTTAATGTAATTAGACCAACAACAACAAATAAATAAAATAAAGAGAATATGCAAGATATTTAACGTGTGAATTTGAAGCATTCGCTGCTAATTGTGTTTAATTAATTTATGCATATTAAAATGTCTTCATCAGAAACGTATCGAAAGTGCTCATAAATCTATGTTCACAAGCAGATATCAGATTTAATATATATTCATATATATATACATATATAAATATATATAAATATATATATATATATATATATTTATATATATATATATATATATATATGCGCATTGAGTGCAGCTATTCGTGGTACGAGCATTATAATTGTCATGAATTATATATAAATAATTATATTGAAGTGTTTTTCGCCTTCATTTGTGTCCCTTTAAAAAAATCTATTATCATTAAAACCTATTTTATTATACACAAAGATCATATATATATATATTATAATATATATATCTGTATAAAGATAAATAGATGACAACTAAAAGTGCTTTAGTTGGGAGTGTTCGACTAGAAGATACACTGAACCCTAACAAAGAGTTGCTGCTCCAATCAACACATCTACACACGCAGGCAGAAGCACTTTTCATTTTATATGCATAAATAAATATCAACTTATGGGATCAGCCACGCCTTCTCTTACCCGTAACATACACTTTCACACGTTACACTCCTAATTCCTAATTTCAATGGGTTGAAGGTATAACACTCACTCACGCTTCAAATACAGCTTAAATCATTCAAAGATCGATTCTTATTTCATCAAAATTGAGACCTAATTGAAATGTCAAGCATCAAAAGACGCTCATGAACGAGCATTAAACTGAAACCTAACAAATGCGAGCTGAGTATAGTGGTTCCCCGTGGCTCAAATATTTTTGGCAGATTGTGCGCTGAATTTTTAATTACAAATGAAAATTTCTAGACTGTAACTAACTTGAAATGAAGCACTTGCATTTACACACCAACACACACACAGTACATGGGTTGTAAAGGGCGGCGCTCTTTAATGGGTTTGCAGTGCACTCTAACGATCTGGCAACGCTGGCAACGGCAACAGCAGCAGGCGAACAGCGGCACAGTTATTTTCCATTATTAATTAATGCGACGCACTGCTCAGCCAGATAGCAGACAACATTTTCACATACGCACACACACACACAGCGAGACACACACACAGTGGGTGAGTAAAAGTTTTGCGCCATTTGCAAGTGAAAGTTGCACGTAAGTAAAATAGTTTCGTGTAGCAATTGAAAAGCGCTCAGCGAACTTTCCACAGCAACAGTTCATTTTCGATCCACAGCGGTGTCGCCGCCTCAGAAAAAAAAGTAGAAGCCCAAAAAAAAAGCCAACTTACGCCATTTCGCTCAATTTGTAAATAGTTTTTTAATTTCGTTTTTCTTTTTATTTTTCCCCCTTTTTTATAGTAGTTGCGAAATAAGCTTGGTCAGGCAAACAGCTGAATTCAATTAAAAAAAAACTAAATGCGAACTGGTGAACTAGTTCCGAATCGAGCAAAAAAAATATATATATTTACATATATAAATATATATATGTATATATGAATATAATATATATGCATATATATGTTATATTATAAATTTATGCATGTCGACAAAATTAATTCTTAAAAATATAAATAAAATATAAAATATAAAAAAATATTTTTTACATATGAAAAATCTTTGTATTTATAAAGGAATGAATACAATTTGAGAACAACAAATTTTTTAAAAGAAGTCATATCTCTCTTAATGTATTTTGGTAACTTTGCTTAGTTTTATTTTTTATTCTCTCTTGCATTTTATATCTAGAAGTAGAAAGTAGTCCATTATATATAATATATCTAATAGAAGCGTAGAATAATTGTAACAGCATCTCTGTGCAAAGTTCAGAGTATCTTTCAGTCGAGCACTCCCGACAAGCGCACGCTTAGTTGTTAATGAGTATCTGTATGTAAGTCAGCTTATTAAGTTCGGCTTCTTGTTGTTGCTCTATGTCAAGACTTGAAGTTACTATAGAATGAGTTTTTATTTTGATGTATATATAATTTCAGATCTGTAGTCTGTTTTATGGATTTCAAGATTTGAATGGTGAATAGCTTACAGTTCAGCTCGCGATTCAGCTCTTCACATTTCTTAAAGTTGCATCAAGCACATAAAAACTTGTCACATAAATTAGCACGCACTGTGCCTAGCCTTGAAAATATATGCGTGTAAGTGTGTCTGTGTGTCTGTAAAGAACTTTGCCTTTGGTCTCGCTAAGGAAATCGCCAGTTCCATTTTGATTATGTTAAAGCTGATGCTAAGCATTCAGCGAACGATGTCATCGTTGAAATTGAAAGGCGCTGAGATCTTAAGTGGTTCATTCAAGAGCGGCCAAGAATAGTGGCGGCGCCAGGGGTAGGCGGGGCATGCGGACTCTGCCAGGCACAAACAGCTGGTATAAAGGGCCAGCGAAAAGTGAAAGTGAACAAAAAGAAAATGTTGGTTTACACCTTCGCAAGAGCCAAGCAGCAATACTAAGCAACAGAAACTAAGCACAACGCAGAAGAGAAGCGTAATAAATACAAATCATATAAAAGCAACAACAAGCAAGCATAAACAACAAATTACAGTTGCTGTTATTGTCGTTGTTGCTGTTGTTGTTGTAGCCAAACATACAAGTACATATAAATTCTTTGGCAATTTATTATTAGAAAGAAAAAAGCAGACGCCGAGGCCGAGCGACAGAGAGCAAGAGCGCTAGAGAGAGAGAAAGAGAGAGACAGACAGGGCCACCAGGTTGACATGCCTGGCTGGATACCCTGGCCAAAGAATGTTGTAAAAACGTCACAAACTGCGCTGAAGATGCTTGTGAATCGTTATTGCCATATAACTATATATTACAGTTGCCATAGAGAAGACGACGCTAAAGAGTTCAGTTTTGCTCACACACAAATTGCTGTCAGCTCTGCTGGCAAGGGTATTTGATCTTCGATAATAACGCAAGCATAAATTGTTCTTGTCAACCCATCTGCAAGGCACACGGCAACGAGCTGAGAGAGAGAGAGGAAGACTAAAATATTTGCCATCTTATTATTATTATTATTATTATTTTAGAGAAACAATATGATATAGTATAGGTATATATAGAGAACAGGATGGCGCTTGTAGCACACACACGCACACACACACACTCGCTGCAGACACGCGCGCCATATGCTGAAAGTTTGAGCGTCGCAGCGTCTCTTGTGGCGATTGGCGTTTGCCTAGTCAATATTTCATTTGGCACTTGAACCAAATACTTTTAGTTCGCTGTCGCAGCGCAGACGAAGGTTGCTGCAGATGCTGACGCTAATGTCGACGCCAACGCGAGCAGAGGCCAGACGACAGCGCGAAACTTTAATCATGAGCAACTACACACATAAACATATACATATGTATATCTGCCTACGTACACACACACACATACACAGATACACCCAGACAGACGCACGAGCACACGCATACAGTAATTGATTTGTGTTTATATTTGGCTAATATGGCTGCTGACTCGCCTGCAGCAGCTAATTTTGAGGTCGCGACACAACATGGCGTATGCGTTATTTTTTGCCTATTGCGGAACTTGAGCGTAAAAGTCAAGCTGAATGTTTTTTATGCATATGTCTATTAAATATACGCGTAAACAGTTCATCTAACACATGTCCAGCAGAGTACAAAATAGTAAAAGCAACTTCTGCATAAATTATATATATGAAATTTATTGATATTACAGCGAAATTACAATGAAATATATAGAAAATAAATAGCAATAGAAAAATCATTTATTTCATCATTAGCATTTGACTATTTCGACTATAAGCTTTTCTTCTATTTTATTCATAATAAAAATTTAGTTGAAAAGTATATTTTGTATACTCTTCTTAGAAAACTAATAGGTAAAAGCTGAATAAATTAAATATCTGAATTATGTGTCTTCTTTAAATATCTGGACTAAATGTCGCTCTTCTATGCGATGTTCATAGTAAAAACTTAGTTTAAAAGTATTTTTAATAAGTTCCAATCATGCCAAATATTGATATAATCATGCATTAGCCTTTAAATATATGGAGCATGCTCTACATAGACTGCAATATTTAAAATATATACACCTAAAAAAAATACAAAATACAAATTTAAAGATTTCAGCTGTTAGAGACTTTTACTCAAATTTGATGTATTATCAAATGGCATTGAATAACCCAATTGCTGCATGCTCATTTGATTAAGGCACTCAGATAAACACTGAGCGAACACAAAGAGGGAGAAGCTATAGAAAAATATTTGATAACGAACATGCGCTTGTATACGCCTAATTGAGTTAACAACACATTTGGCCCGCTTAACACGTTTGCTTCATTCCTTTCTTTATCTTCTCGTCCAATGCCTGAATTCCCATTCATACAAAAAAGGGAAATAAAAAACGTACATAGAGACGGCAACAGCAATTGGGCATCTCTGTCCAATACAAATGGAATCTTTATTGCGAATGGATATGATAAATTGTGTATAAAATATAATATATGCGCACTTCTGCCCGCCACATTGATTGCTTTTATTTGCCCTTTTGTTTGTATTGTTACTCTTTGTGTCTGTCTGGCAGATACAATTGCTTTATTAAAACACAAATTTCAGCTCGTGTAAATTCTATTAAAATAAAAATGTTCACGTTTTATTAAATTTGCACAATATTCGAATGATTCCAGTCACAAATCGCCACAAAAAATAAAGAGCAAAAATTATGAATAAAATTCATATTTTAATTGAATTAATATGAAATTTCTATATTTTAATT